CAGTCCTTTGATCCAGGAAGGCACCTGATGCCGATGGATCCTGATTTGGGGATCCTGCACGGGTCAGCACGGGTGGCGATGGTGTAATCCAGATGACACCAACCCCCTGTGTAATCCCATAACTAGGGGGCTGCCCCACAATGTACCTTCAAAAACTAATTTTACCAGAAAGGGAATACCAACAGAGGGCTGAAAAGACCTGCCAGGAGTGAGGGTGAAACCTTGGGAGCTCCCCAGGCTTGGACTAGAAGGCAATTACCTTTCTGGGTTAATTATTGCTATTAAGATCTTGGGGATTTTTCCCTATGGATCAGGTTTTGATGCTTAAGTGCGAGTGGTGGATAGGAAAAGTCAAAATACTAAGGGAGGAATGGCGAGACAGTGAAAACACAAAATTTCATTAATTTGTTTTTTATTTGCAAATAATAATAATAATAAGGACAGAAATTAACAACTGTGCTGGGAGATATTTAGACATACATATCAGAAATGTATCTCAAAAGGTTAGAGGGACTCAAAGCATTAAATAGTGTCCATAAAAAAGTGAGTGCACAGCGGTGTGCGCAGACCCTGTTTTCCAGTTATCCTTAGGAGGAAACCTACCCTCTTCGTTCCTACCCTCTTGACGTCCTGGGAGATCAAACCCCCTGGGAGCGGGAAGAGCCAGGCTCCAAAACATTTGTCTTTAAATAAATAAATGCCCTGGGTCTTTGGGTGCCCAAAGTTGCAGTGCGGGGCGGCAGCGTCCCTGCTCTCCTCACCTGCCTTGGCAGAGGGGTGACCGCAGGAGCTGCCTGGAGGGGACGGATGTGCCAGAGACGTCCCACTGTCCGCGGTGGCAGAAAACCGCTGGATATGGCCCCGTCCCGACGAAGGCTGGGCTCCGGAGCAGAGAGGTCTTTCCTTGATGCTTTCCAGGCTGTCCTGATCCCCACAGCCACCTACCAAGCCCTGATCCCTGCTGGCACAGCGGCTTGCAAGCGGATGGGCTGGTGCTGAGCAGCGCTGGCCATGCCCAAGCTCCCGTTCACGGTGGGAGTGGCACTGGGGGGTACCCCAGCATAGCCCCCCCTGTAGCTAGCACCATAGGGGCTGCTGCTATAGGCACTGTAGTAAGAGCTATAGGAGTAAGGGCTGGCAGTGATGCCGTACGGGGCTGGGTACGGCTGGGGGGACCCTCCAACGCAGGGTTTGCCGTCCCTGACCAGCACGGGCACGGCCACCCTCCGTGGGGACAGCGGGTGGGCAGCCAGCTCCAGGGATTTATCCTGCCTTTGCCTCTTGCACTTGTACCTCCGGTTTTGGAACCAGATTTTCACTTGTGTGGAGGTGAGCTGGAGCACGCTGGCGAGGTGTTCCCTTTCCGGAGCAGAGAGGTATTTCTGTTGCTTAAATCGCCGCTCCAGTTCCAACACCTGAGCTTGGGAGAATAAAACCCGGGGTTTCCTGCGCTGTCGCTGCTTGGGCCGGTGGCCGGGCTCGTCTGCCTCGAGACGGGGGGTGAGCAAACATCCTCCTGCTGCGAGAAGAACCCAAAGCCAAGTCAAACCCAGGGCTGGTGCTGTTTCCAGCGAGGGGATCAAATTGGGAATGGGACCGCTTGGGAAAAGGATGAAGGAAGGTTGATAGCTGATAAATTTAATATGAACTTTCCTGTGATGTTTAGTGGGAATTCAAGAAAATTCCTTTTTTTTTTTTTGGGTAGAATTAAAAGCCTGACTGTTCTGTGAGTTTTGAATAATGCCTCCTTTTGGTCTCTCCTAACGATGCCTGTGCTGTTGTGGGTGCAGGAGGGGCACAGGGAAAGCGGAGTGTGCTGCAGGTTCGGGTACCCCAAACCACAAATCCCCTTCCCCGCTGTCCTGCTCCGGAGGGATGGAAGCGATCGCAGTCAGACCTCTGGCAGGATTTGCCTCCAGCGCCAGAGGAAAGGGGGATCCCGCAGGTCTCTGAATTTAAGCGAATTGGGAAAAACAAAGGGGCTGGGAACGAAGGAGGAAAAAGCTGTCGGATGTGAGAGGAGATGCAAAGTGGTTGGTGGGGTTTTTAATTTGCTGGGGAGCTGGCCGGGGGTCGTGAGATGCACTCGGGCACCCCGGCAGTCGCAGGAGGGACTCGGGGGGATTTAAGGGGGAAGTCTGCGGGGACATGGGGGGCTGGAGGGCTCCGTCTGCGGGACGACAGGGTCCTCCCCGGGTCCCACTCACCCTCTCCGGCTCCCCAGCTCTGGATCCCAGTGCCACCCAGTGCTCAGGCTCTGGTCCTACTGGTTTCCCCGTTTCTCCGCTCCGCAGCCGCCGGGAATGAGGGAAACACGAGCAACGGAAACTTGGTGGGATTTTAGCCGAGGGGGAGGGAGGCAAAGAGGGGT